TGGCCCATGGATTAAGGTTCTTTGGGGGCCCTGAAAATCTTTTCTTTTTTCCCCTTCCTTCCATTTTTAAAAATTTCTCTCTTAAAAATTCATTCAATAACAATTTATTGAGTCCTACAAAGTGGCTGGCACCGTGCTAGGCACTGGGGAGCAATACAAAAATAAATATAACGTACTAACTGCCCTCAAGCAGCACACAGTCTGTTAGGCAAACAGTGACTGCAAGGCAAAGTGAGCAACTGTGTTGGAGTAGCTTGTGGAGAGTAGTATGTTGGCCCAGGAGAAGGAATCAACATCCACTGACAGGAAGAGTCAGAAAAGGCCTCACAAAGGTGGTGTAGACTTGAAACAGGAGTAGAAATCGCTAATGAAGAGGGGTGAAGAGGGGTGAAGGGTTCTCAGGCAGAGGGGAGAGCATGTGGAAAGGTTCCAAGCAATATTCCATGTAGTGGGAATCAACGAGGCGTGCCTATTGAGTAGTGGGCACATGGAACCATCAGGCAAGATGCATGCCTGCTATAAAGATGCTTATTCGCCCTGCCTTTGTAAATCTAAGCTTTTGTCTATGGACAGTAGGTATTCATAACACACAGTGAGCAGAGTGACATGCTTGAAAAGACAATTTTAGCAGCTGTGTTGAAGGTGGTTTAGACGAGGAAGGAGTAGAGAGGCCTTTTGCAGCTTTTCGGGAGAGATGGGTGTAACAGATATTTAGGAGGAGGAAGTGACACTTTAACAAAAAAAAAACAAGGAGGGCGTGGATCAGGGAGTAAGCTACGAACAGGTCCTCATCTGTCATCCAAGTGAAGATGCCCAGGAGGGAGGCAGAGCTGTGTATCTGCGGCTCCAGAAAAGGGTGCTGTCTGAGGCATGGATCCAGGAGTCAGTGGGGATCCAATGGCATTTAAAGTCAAGAGAGTGAGAAGATTATCAGGAAAGGCTTTCAGCGTCAGGCCTCCATGTTAACGGTTAAATTGTATGGAGGATGACCATTGGGTGTTAGATGAGTTTCATTTCTTTTCTTTTTTAATTTTTAATATATTTTATTGATTTTTCACAGAGAGGAAGAGAGAGGGATAGGGAGTTAGAAACATCGATGAAAGAGAAACATTGATCAGCTGCCTCTTGCACACTCCCTACTGGAGATGTGCACGCAACCAATGTACATGCCCTTGACTGGAATCGAACCTGGGACCTTTCAGTCCACAGGCCAATGCTCTATCCATTGAGCCAAACCTGATTCAGGGAGTTTCATTTCTTTCGGTCAGGGCTCTGTGGAACCCTAAGAGATGTTTCAAGAAGTCTGGGAACCCCTGGCATTTTAAGCAAAAATTTGTTAAGATGTAGCTTTTTGTGAAGATAGAAACTATAGCTCTTACCAATTTCTCTTAGGGGTCTGAGTCACAAAAGGGTTAAAGTCCACTGAGCTTCAATAAATATTTTATATATGCCCATGATACTTAGGACTCGAACTGAATTAAAGAGAGGTTTGGTTCAGGCTGGAAAATAAGTTCTGTTCTGTTCAGATCAAATTTCCACAAAAGTGTAGTTCACATTAAAAGTATGTTTGCTCCTATAACAAAAACGGAGGATTGAACTAATTGTCTACATGGTTTAAAATTATTACCTTTTCTTTCTGAATGAGAATCTATTCCAGGAATTCTTAAATCGCCCTCTCTTTAGATCATTCTACGCACCACCATGATTACATACTACTTCTGGTTTTGTTTCATATTTTGAACTTGGTCCAAATTTCTCACTTGACCATTACAGCACATACTCAAGCCTGTCTCCTTAATAGCCTTCTCCACGTAAAAGAGCTTTCATTGAAGGTTATACGCTTAATAGAATCTGACTACAGCATAAAATTTACCAATTCTTTTCTGCATGAAAGGACATTTTGCAGAAAGTGAAAAGACAATGATGGATGAGAAAAAATATTTATAAATCATTCACTTATCCAATAAGGACCCAGTAATCCTAATATATAAAGAACTCTAACAACTCAACAATAAAAACATGAATAACCCAATTTACAAATGGGCAAAGGATTTGAATGAACATTTCTCCACAGAAGATTCATATATGGTCAATAAGGACATGGGAAAAAATGGTCAAAATCATTAGCCATTAGAAAAAGAAGATCAAAATAACTATGAGATACCACTTGACACTCAGATGATGGCTAGCATTAAAAGCAAACAAACAGAAAATAACAAGTGTTGGTAAAGATATGGAGAAAATGACCGAAACCAGTTTGGCTCAGTGGATAGAGCATTGGCCTGTGGACTGAAAGGTCCCAGGTTCGATTCCGGTGATGTACCTTGGTTGCAGGCACATCCCCAGTAGGGGGTGTGCAAGAGGCAGCTGGTCAATGTTTCTCTCTCATCGACGTTTCTAACTCTCTATCCCTTTCAATTCCTCTCTATGTAAAATCAATAAAATATATATTTTTTTAAAAAACATATGGAGAAAATGGAACCTTCACACATTACTGATGGAGATGTAAAATGGTGGTGCCATGTGGACATCAGTTTGGCAGTTGTTCAGAAAGTTAAAGATAGAGTCACCATATGACCCAGAAATTTTACACATGGCTACTTACTCAAGAGAACTGAAAACTCGTTTCCTTGTTCACAAAAGAAACTTGCACACACATATTTATAGTAGCATTTATAAAAGCCAAAAAGTAGAAACAGCCCAAGTGCCCACCAACCGATACAAAGTTAAACAAAATGTGGGTTATTCTTATAATAGAAATATTACTCCGCTATAAAAAAAAAAAAAAGGAATAAAGTGCTGAACAAGGATGAACCTTGAAAGAAACCAGACGTGGAAATCCGCATATTGCATGATTCCATTTATAAGAAAAGTCCACAACAGACTGACCCGGGGAGACAGAAAGTAGGTTAGAGGTGGCCAGTGGGTGGGAAGGAAGGGGAATCGGGAGGTATGAGGCTTCTTTTTGGAATGATGGGAATGGGCTCGAATAGATAGTGGTTGTGGTTGTATAACATTCGGTGGATGCACGAAAAGCCACTGAACTGCACTCTTTAAAATAGTTAAAATGGTGATTGATACGTTATGTGAATTTTACCTCATTAAAAACTACAAAAAAAAAAACCAAAAACCCACAAACCCACACCTGCCAATTGCCTTTAATTCTACCCCAGAAATAAGACAATCATAGAATCCGCAAATTTTATAACGATCACTTCCGTTGTCTTTGCAAAAGTCAAATATTTTCACATAAGACAAAACATTTCCTCATTTCGAGACCAGCAATACCTACTGTAACCCTGTTTAAAACTCAAGCACATTGAAAATCTCACTTAGTAAATGACTAAGGAAGTAGAAGAAGTAATCAGCATGCTCAGTGAGTACAATCCTACAATTGGGGACAAATAAAATGACACGGCATCCTCGTAAGAGCTCTTTAACTTTTTACGGGTATAAGAATCCACAGTGTCAGCTACTGTCCCTGCCTCTGTGTCTTCCAGAAGTGAAAGCTGAGCTTTGGTCATGGAGACACTTCAGAATTCTTTTGAATTTCACACATTATTTTGGACTGAAATGATATGTCTCCATTATAATACATTTCCATAACAGTGTGTACCACTGACTTCCCTATGCATGATGTTCCTACCTGATCCCTCAGACAGCTCACTGTATTTCGATTTGTCTTCATAGCATACATGGAGGGGAGGGAGGGATTTTTATTTTTTTTTTGAGAGGTTGGTAATAGTGTTAAATAACTAACAAAAATTGTCTAGGTCCCAGTAAGAGTGATAACCATGATGGGGGGGGGGGTGGATTTTTTTTCCCAAGTAGTTCTCTCTGGCCTGTGTGTGCATCCCCCTCTCTTCCATTAACTCCTTCGTGACTCGGTTCCTAAACCATAATCTCTGGGGTCTAGTGTGAAATAAATATGTGCAGCCCCTTGTTCAGAAAGCACTAAGAACTTCAGAAAGGCATCCGCAAAGCCACATACTTGGGCACTGCACACCTCAAAAAGCCGTGGGGGGGAGGGGAGGGTTAAAGAGGGGGTAAAGGGGAGAGCTCCCTCGCTCCACCACCTCCTTCCTGTGGTTAGTGGTGAGTTCCTTAAACTCCCAGAACCTCATTTTCTTCACCTGAAACATGAGGCTTATCATCCCCATCTCTCTGGTCGCGGCCAGGATTATTTTTTAAAGTCTCCAGCTCGAACACTATCACTTAACACGTTTTTAATGTTCCTGTGGGGAAGGGAGCCCCGTGCGTTTGGACGGGGCATGAGTGGCAGGAAAGCCATTTGGTGGATTAAATAAGGGTCCTTCAAAGATTAGGGAAGGGGAGGGGGGGCAGCGAGGGGCTGCTCTCCCTCTCATCTCCGACCTGACACACTCTGCCTGGCTCTGTGTTTTTATTAGCTCGCAGCCCCGGTACATCAGTGGCGAGGGTGATGAAACCGGTGGCAGATTTAACTGCCAGGCAGCTGGGTCACCGTCCCGTGGGTCTTGTTGTCATGCTGCGATCTTAAAGTGACCATGGCTGTTCGGGCTGCCACTCTCCAAAGGACTCGGGGAGAGACCACGGAATGGTTAACCGGCGGCAAGGGGAAGAAAGAGGCTGTTGCTTTGCAGAGAGCACAGAGACGCTGCTGCTTTGAGAAATCCCAGGGTGGCTGAATATCAAGAACACGGTTCCTGCTGTGGGCAGCTGTGTGTGCGAAGGGCAGCCCGAGGGCTTACAATCAAATCTCCAGCAAGGGCTGGTGCCCGTCCCCCGGGGCTGGGGCACTGGAGGCAGAAGGCCTGAGCCCTGTGAGAGGAAGAAGCCCTCCCTGCTATCTGTCCATGAGGGATATCACTCAGTGATCATTTTCATTGTTAGCAACCTGTGAATCCTGTGTTCCAAAAAATAACCATAATAAAATGAAAAAGAAAGGCAAGGGAGAGAAGACTCAGGAGAGAGAAAGCAGGATGACTTCTTTCACAGGAAAAAAATCTGCAGGCCCTTACCTGGAACCTCCTCATGTCCCTTGGGTTTCCTGCTGTTTTCAAACAATTCTGATTGCACTTGAGGAAAAATTTTAAAAAGAATCTGCGGAAAGAAAGCAATGTGTTACATTTTTTTAAAAGTAAACACGTTTGAAGAGAGAATAGCCATGCATTCTATTAGATTTGATTTGAGAGCGATTGTATTTCAGGCCTGGGGAATTTCAGCGGCCCTGCCTGCGAAGGAACATTGCTGACCCTCTGCAATTTGCAAGTTTGGATGTTTTCCGTTGGCAAGTCAGCTCCAGCACGGTGGAGGATTGCAAAGTGGTTCCCAAGCGGGTCTCTGGCTTGTGCTCCTCCTCACCCCCCCCCCACCCCCAAGTTACTAGGGGGCTCTCTCAAAAATAAAAAGGGGAGGGGGGGGGTCCCCAAAGGCAGTGACTCCTGCCGAGCAGAAATGTCTCTCAGCTCCCAGGTTGAAAATGGAATGGCTTAGCCCAGAGTCCTAGGGTTGTTCCCGTAGGTGGCCTTCTGCTGGCCACACACACCTTCCTGCTCACCCCCCGCCCCCCCCCCCCCCCCACACACACACACCCTCACACACAGAGGGGCCTGATCTCTCCAGCCAGTGTGTATACAAATCAGAAAATGTCATGTTACCACCCAAAGACAGAGTCAGTCTGTGCAGGGTACACGCTGGGGGGTTTATGATTAATAACAAGAGTGAATATCCTTTTACTCCTTATAGATTATCCAGAAAACACAAAGGCACAGAATAATGGTCCGAGGTCATGATTCCTCAGACGTATTTTTTTAAGCCAATAATCTCCTAAATGAACTACTTTGTGTAATTTTATAATGGAGCATCTTTCATCAGAGAAGCACAGCCACCAAGAAAAAATGGCTCAAGCGGCCTCTTCCGCGATTTACGTATTTAATGTTTGGAATTTTTGTTTCAAAACGCAATAAGTTTTTCATGTATTTTACTTGCAGTCTTTTTCCTTAAAAAAAAAAAAAAAAAAAAAATCCAGCTTTTGCAGTGCTCAAGTCCCAGGTGAGCGAGGCCTATTTCCCTTCCTGTTACTATGACAACGAAATTTTACCGCAGTCCCAAAGTCCCTCCAGAACTCTCACATCCATGCCTTGAATTAGAACTTTAAAGGAAAAGATATACATTTCCCCCAGAATGTACCAGCACAAACACGGAGACATCAGCCAGCGCTCCCCAAAATATCCTGTTTTTAAAGCAACCGTTTGGCCAGAGGCTCTCGCGCTGACCTCGTGTTTATTGTTAATTCTTTACAAATCACACGGAAGAACGAGAGAGCGCTCCAATGGGTGGTATTTCGCACTTAAAAAAAAAAAAAAAAAGGAAGAAAACCTGATGGAAAATAAAGAGTAAATGATAAAGGAGGGGATTTGCACTTTTTCGAGCGTTTTGGTTTTTTCCTGTGAGTCTTTAATCTGGACTTGCTAAACATAATTGGTCAAGTGTTGCTGACCCCTCTCGAATGAATACGGTTGGGTGCGAATGTAGAAAAAATAGCAGCTAAATAGTTTCCCATTATTTTATAACATCTGCTTTTCACGTCTCCCCTGTAATCCTCCCCACCCAGGGCCCCCGATGGCCAGGCCGAGGGAAGGCTCCCCAAGCGCGCAACCTGCCTGCGCTCTCCCAGCGCGGCCACCCGGCTGCCCGCAGCCACCGAGCGCTTTGCAGCGGGAGCTGCTTTTATTTAAGAAAAGAGGGATTCGGAGTCACACACACACACACTCTGTGTCGGACCGGGAAACAATCTTCCATGTGTGCTTGTGCGTCCTCCGCAGCCCTCTGCGGGCACCGAGGCGCTGAGCCGCTCTCCGCACACCCTGGACTTGCCTTTTCCCTGCAAAGTCTCTCCGAACAATAGTCCCCACCCCCGCTCCCCATCGCCCTCCACGGCCCCACCAGGACTTTACTTCTGGCCTCCTCTATTGCCTCCACCACCCCCCACCCTCACCCACCAAAATAAAAAAAATCCCCGTTAGAATCCAACCAAGCGCTTTCTCTCACTAACTCCTTGATTTGGGGAAAGTTTTCCCACAATTGGGCTCCTTATAATGCATTCTGTGTGTGTGTGTGTGTGTGTGTGTGTGTGTGTGTGTGTGTGTGTGTGTGTGTGTGTTTCACTTCCCCTTGCCCACCCCGCCCTTCCTCCAGAACGTATCTGCGGAACGCATTAATGTTCATGAAGGCGTTATTATAGCGATGGTGTGGTGGGTGGAAAAGTGCAAAGGAGATAAATGTTTACATAAAATCAAATTGATTTAGGGAAACAAGGGTCCTGCTGAAAGGCTTTATTCATTTTTAAATGAGGACCCTTAACAGTTCTCAGCATGGAAAACACCCTGCGTGGCCTCTTTTTTTTTTTTTTTTTTTTTTTTTTTCCTGCTGGTTTTAACCTGCACAGCCCCCTGCACAGTAAAGATACAACATTCTGTTCACAAAGGCTGAGAGAGTGGTGGAGGAGTGGGGAGCGGGGGCGGGGAAGAATTCTCTTACATTGTGTAGTACTTTGTAAAAGAGGCATAGTTACTTCTATTTCTAAGTGGCCAGCACTAGAAATTATGACCTGGATAGTTTACATGTGGACCTAGAAATTAATTTAAAGGAATTCTGGGGCTTACTGACATCTCCAATTTTTTTCTCTCTCTTATTTTTTATTTTATTTATTTATTTATTTTGTACTGATGTCTTCCACCTGCCTCCTTGTACCCCCTCCACCCATCATGCTCAGGGGCTTGGTACAGAACCCTTTCCTGACCAAACCAGCGGTTAAGCACGGGGTAACGTTCAGGGAGCAGATCCCCTGGGTCCAGGTCCCTCCAAAGGCAGAGCTGCCTGCAAAATGTCAGCTCTCGCTACTTAGAAATGAGGAACCACAATGAATTTCAAGATTCAGACCAAATGTGTGGATTCTCATCCGGATGGGAGTCATTTTCATTTTCTCCAAACAATGTTGACTACGTAAATGTGATCACCACTTAGCGTGCTACACTTTGCAAGGCCTCTGATCTGCTTTCTTAAGACGATACACTAACAACTACAGGTTTATTCTCCTTTTATAGATAAAGAGCAACACAGAGGTGGGGTCAGGCATGAAAGCATGCAACAGAATGATGCATCTCAGAGAGAAGGGGTGGGTGAGAAAAGATTAACCAAAGAACTTATATGCATACTAGAGGCCCAGTGCACGAAATTCATGCACTGGGGGGGGGGGAGGTCAGGCGGTCACTCAGCCAGGCCTGCTTACACCCGAAGTCCGGAAGCCCTTGGGGGATATCCGACTGATGGCTTAGGCCTGCTCCCAAGCCGGCAGTCAGACATTCTTAGGGCTGCTGCAGAGCCGCTGCTCTCACCAGCCATGAGCCCAGCTCGGGGCTTCTGGATGAGCAGTGCTCCCCCTGTGGGAGCATGCTGACCACCAGGGGGCAGCTCCTGCATTGAGTATCTGCCCCCGGTGGTCAGTGTGCGTCATAGCGGTCGGTTGTTCTGCCAGTCGATTTGTATATTACTCTTTTATTATTATATAAGATATGCATAATCCATGAACACAGACAATAGTGCAGTGAAGGCCTGGGGAGAAGATGGCAGCAGGGTGGAGGGGAGTCCATGGTGGGGAAAAGGAGAACATCTGTAGTTCTTTCAATAATAAAGACACATTTACAATTATGAACTCAATAAACTTAATTGAGAAATAATTTTTTTAAAAAAGGAATACTCCTCCCTTCCCCCCAAAAAAAGTGAACTCAGACGCTCAGATTTCAATCAAGTTCCTAGGCATTCCTTCACTCTACAGATATTGATTAAATGCTGACAGTGAGCTAGTCTCAAGCTGCTACCAACTAACTTTGTAACCAGGTTACCTCGCTTCTCTGGGCCTTGGTTACTCCAAGGGTCAGGAGAGTTTAATCAGATCATCCCTAGGGTTCCTTCCAGCATCACCATTCTATGCGTGTGAGGAATAACACGGAGAGTTGAAAAACCACTAGAAATGGCTGCATTGGGGGCAGAAACGACTGAAGGCAAAAAGATCATCACTTATTGAAGCCCAGCTGCAGGTGGGTACCGGGGTTTTCTGAAAGATATATCAAGCCCACTGCTCTGAGACTGAAAGAAAAGAGGCAGGGATGGCTGGTTGGTAGAAAATGGAGCATCTTGGCTAATGCCTAGGCCGGAGCTGGTGGTATCATGAGGTTGATGGGCAGGTTGTTGAGCGAGATGCACCTTCCCTTAGCATCCTTTCTCTATGTTTCCAAGGCAGGAGAAGGTGGCTCGGGAATGTCATGGACCAAAGCCATCTCTGCCCCTGCTCACCATTCTTTGTGGTCTGTCAGCTGAAGGGTACAAGGGTCACAGAGGACAGGGGAAGAATGCCTATTCTGTGCCATGCTCCCAGCTATGTTCTTGATATTCATTGCCTCATTTGTTTTTCACAACTTTATAAGTGACAAACCATTTCACAGCTAGGAAAAACAAAGGCACCAAGAATTTATAAATTTGCCCAAGACAACACAGCTGGTAAGTGATGAAACAAGAACTTAAACCTTGGCCTTTCTGGCAACAAGTTCCATCTAGTGCCGTCCTATGTTTCCTGCACCAATTAGGTTATGGTGATGGTTGCAAGGCTCTGTGAATATACTAGAAACCACTGAACTGTACACTTGGGATGGGTGAAGTTTATAGTATGTAAATAATATTTAAATATGGCTGTTTAAAAAAAAAAAAAACTTCAGCTGAAACCGGTTTGGCTCAGTGGTAGAGCGGACTGAAGGGTCCCAGATTCAATTCCGGTCAGGGGCATGTACATTGGTTGCGGGCACATCTCTGGTGGGGGGTGTGCAGGAGGCAGCTGGTTGATGTTTCTCTCTCATTGACATTTCTAGCTCTCTATCTCTCTCCCTTCCTCTCTGTAAAAAATCAATAAAATATATTAAACACACACACACACACACACATACACACACACACACACACACACACACACACACACACACAAAACTTCAGAGCCCTGGCTGGTACGGTTCAGTTTGATAGAGTTGTCCTGTAGGTTTCAGATTTGA